GTGGTGGCACACGCCTGTAATCCCAGCGCTTAGGAAGCTGAAGACAGGAGAATCACTATGAGTCCAATCAGTGTAGTGAGACCCTGATGACCTGTACTAAATCCAAAAAAAAAAAAAAAAAGAGAGAGAGAAGTTGGCAAAAGTTCACAGAAAGAGATAAAATATCAGAAGGAGGTAATTGTAGGAGATAATATGGAGAGAATTTGGAAAAAGGGAAGTAAGAGATATTGGACTCTTAAGTACTTGGCTTTTTGAGATACAAGAATGGGGAAAGGAGTGGGGAAGACAAGCAAAAGACAGGGCTGGCGAATGCACAGAGTACACAAATACTTGCTGAGCTTCAGGTGTTTATGAAGGATAAGAATTTATAAACACTAGAAATTTGCAATGATCATGAGCAGTCAGAGTATGCAGTCTGCAGACTGGCGCTATTTCACAAATGGGAACAAGAGGAACATGGCCCTTCGGGGCTCAGCAGACGTCCCAGAGGCGCGTATCCTCCTTGTTCTATGATTCTGGGGGAAGGCCTCCCTTTGTGTTTGTGTGGGGAAGACAGCCAGGGCTGTGCTTGTCACCAGGTGCTGAGCTTGAAAATGGAGACAAAATTTTGCTGAATACTTTTGTTTTCAAACCAAATTGTGTGCAAACAGCACTGTTTGTGAACTGAAATACTACTGCCCAGTTTTAGTGTTTTGAGGATGTGCTTTTCGATCATTCTCCAGGCTTCCATGTTATGCATATATCCACAAGGGCGGCTGGAAGAAAATTATACAATGAAAGCACCAATCAGACAGGGCTGAAGGGCGACAGGCTGACCACCTAGGAATGGACACAGATTATCCTAACTCTGCGGCACAATACAAGTGCAGTCTTCACTGCGCATTTTGCCGTAAGACCAGCTCTGAAAGTCTTACCTGGCTATAGCCTGAGAAAAAAGGCTGCTGCTGGACCTGTGAAGGATTTGTGTTTAGCACAATCATACCACTTCATCTGCCTAAATAACACATGCTGATAGCCCCGTGGGGCGGCTTCACTCGGTATTCTTTAAACTTATAACAGCACAAAGGGACACACTCACTAGAAACTGCAGCCAATTTCAATCTTTTCCTGGGTTAGCAACATGCGCCCAAGTCGTGTGGGGGTTCATGCCTGAAGTCCCAGCACTGTGGGAGGCTGAGCTCGGAAGGTCCCACTGCTGAGCCCAGCTGGGTTCCTCAGTGAGCTGGAAGGCTGAGCTCGGAAGGTGCCACTGCTGAGCCCAGCTGGGCTCCTCGGTGAGCTGGAAGGCTGAGCTCGGAAGGTCCCACTGCTGAGCCCAGCTGGGCTCCTCGGTGAGCTGGA